CTGTTCGATGCGAGCGTCGTTTTTGGCTTCATATCGCCGTCAGTCGCCTGATAGCTGAATTACTATTTATTGTGATAATCAGCACAAGGTCCCCCCCAAAAGAATCGATATAATCTAAGAAAGTTGTCACATTACTTCGTTGTTGCTCTGGACAAAGCATGCCTCCCGAAAGATCATTTCGAAAATTTCATATCGATCAGTGCAGCTACTTACCGCTCCAAGCCTTTCTAAAATTACGTCACGCACCACCGTCCATCCTTTGAATGACAAAATTTCAAACAGTGCTAACATGGCGTTTCCGATATGGTCGAAGTTGAAATTTCTAGGATTAGCCCTAAAAAGAAGACTAATTAGAAAACATATGTTTTTAGCCTTCCGGTCAAGGCAACAGATAAAAGGAATCAGTAACATCTATCTGCCTATCGCTAACTTCTAAAGTTCGCTCCGATTCTGCGCCCATGCTAAATTAACTTTTAATTTTCCCATTTAAGAGTTTTGAGTGCAAGGCAAATGCCTATGTTATAATGTTATAATTCAGTACTGACAATAAAACTGGTAATGTAATGTATGTACTGAGCCAGAGATACCGTCGTCATCATCATCAGCCTTTGCTGATTCATTATTGAATGAAGACCTCTTCAATAATTCGTCACTTTCGATGTGTGTATGATTAGGTAACTAACTGACAATTGCGGCAAACGATCAGGTATGATCTCATATTTCCAAAGATTCTGGAAATCTTTAACTTTATGTACGATTTTTGGAATACTGAACTCATCAACATATGATAGTTTAAACTCATGCATTAATTTTTAAGTCGTCTTAACACGTGATTATCTTAAGGGATTCTTAGCCGGCATTTTTCTCTGAAGGCTTCTGTAGTTTTGCGGTCTTCTTCGCTGCTGGTAAAATTGCCATCTTTTCGACTCTGATCATTTTCATACAAACTTTCATGGTCTGAGTAAACTTCGCGATGAACAAACGAACTATGGTTCTTTTCATAATTTCTATCTTTCAGTGTACGTTCAGAATGCGGTAAGTCCACCGATTCTTTGTTATGAATGGTGGAAGGAAAAAGTTTCAATGCCGTCACTGAGGATTTTATACTGGCTAAGAATTTCACTGATCATGCAACATATTAGAATATGAGGAAACTACCTTAGAAAGGGCAAAAATCTTCATCCCTTGATCTCGAAACCCTGTGCCTTGGTCCTGTCACGATCGAGGTAGTAAAGCTTACGGAAAAATTGTTTTATGCACTCATTTTGAA